TTTTCAGGGAAAAAGTGCTGTTCCAGTGAGGGGTGAGGTGTTTGGGCTCCGAATCTCTTTCGAGCATACTCAAAGAAATTCATCTTCAACTCTAATAATTGGTCGTCTACATTTGAAAAACATAAACATAAGTTAGTTAATAATATCCATATATAAAATTATTATAATACGCACTCTAATCCTTACTCCTCCTTCCCCTTACTGATGAGCACTAAGGGAGGACACACTATTCGTCTAGTTTCCGTCTAAGGGCACGTGCGAAACGGAAACTAGACTACTCTTTGTTCTACCCCACATAATATATAACAAAAAAATTTATTTTAATCATCAAAATTGCAAACTTCATTGAATTAATTAAAGTAATTTCATATATTTCCTTAAAAACACACGGCTCGGGATTGAGTTGGGGTACGATTTGAAAGTGAGTGCAGGTATGCAGAATTGAACAGCAGGAAAAACGGAAAGAAAGCGTCAACAGAATCAAATATGAACTCCCTCTCCCATTGACACCAGCCGAGGAGGCTGTATTGATAGGAAGGCATCTCATAACGAGTTTCTCGGACCTGTGAGCCATTGCTACTTCCCGCTTTCTCCCGCGTTAGCTGTTGGTGCTGCAACCATTCCAGCTGATCTCACTTCCCATGATAGCCACACACCAACTCTTGAGGTAGACCCTCACAGCCTCGTAGGGCTAAATCCTAGGACGGGGCCGTTATTGCAAAAGTCGAGACTCTGAGGCTCGTGTCTAATCTGCATTTAAGGTTACTCACATACATAGCCACAACGATTTTAGCCGCTCGCCACTCTATTCAAAACCCATTAAGCAGCACCTCTGGATCGATGGGGTAAAAGCGCTCGATAATGAAAATGTGGATGCCAACTTGACTGCATATTGAGGGAGAAACTGAAGAAACCGCCGATGAAGTTCTTAAACAAAGATTTCTTCTCTCCCTCTTCGAAACAAGGAGGGGCTGTGGCTAGACGAGCTGTCCAAACTAACCTGCTCCGCCGGCATTTATAGCTGACTCGTGCCAGCACGAAATGCAGCTGTGTCGTGGTACGGCCCTGCCGCACCTTGATCGCGGTCGCACGACATGCAACGGTTTTAGGGGCATGCTCCGACTCTAGCCCAGGCTATCAGTCGAGCCTCCTCTGGCAGTATGCACATCGCATCGCGAAAGAAGGAGCCAAGTGCCATTGGCACCTAAGGGCGACGTCATAGTTTGCGAA